CACACACACACACACACACACACACACACACACACACACACACACACACACACACACACAAACATGCATGCACACACACACACACACACGCACATACACACAATCAGTTCATGTTTCTTTTTCTTCCTGTTTCTGGTTAGCATGCAGAGTGCACACGGCATAGTCTCTGCTCTGAACACTATGAAGGGATGGGCACTGCCAGCCTCTGCCGCGAAAACTGTGACCCAATGTCTTGCATTGTGGCCTTAACATGCCATGCTTAAATAGCTCCGAAAGTCAACCTACTTTCCTGCTGGCATGTCAGCAGCATGCCATGTGTTATCAATGTTTCCAGGAAGCTGTCATAGAAAGTGTGTGTCTCTACTGCATGGACTATCCCTGATGCCATCACCCTCACATCCTCTGCTAGCATGTCCCACATGCAGTGTTGGGAATAGACCTGCCGCAACCGCAGTCGGATCTCCTTCATCCTTGCTAAACGAAACAACTGACACTGCAGCCTGAGGAGGAAAATAGACTACCATATGAACCACCTATAGAGGGTTGTACTGAAGGGTTATCACCAGGGTGAGCTGTCGAAGACCAAATCTTGGAACAACTAAACACCCCTACTTCCGATCAGTCCCTGCTGCCGTTGTCTGCCCAATGCCCATAGAGAGGGAATAAATCCGAATAATGACTGCGGAGACCCAAGAAACTTGCTCAATCCCATTCTATTATGGTCCATCTGAGATCCGGCTAGCATGTAATTCGCATGCCTTGTGCCGTGAGGATTATGAACGCATAGCGCATGCAAGTTTTTGTGCTTCATGCGTATGATGACAGTCACCATTGCATTCATGTACTGCACCCTGACATGTCATGTCCAATTGTAGACAGGGGTCAGAAAGGCAATGTCTAATAGCCTATACAGTTGTGGTCGGTGTGGCTTCATGTTCCTAGCATGCAGCAGCCACGTAGCCTGTGACATCTGTCTACGCCATGCCATTCGATGATCAACGACAACTGCGAGAATTGGATGTGGTGCTTCGACAGTCCACACCCGAACAGGTCCTGTCCGGCCTGTAAGGGTGGCCACTTACCATAGGCAACGGCTGCTCCTCATCTGAAAATCTGTTCCAACCCAAACGCTGACTGGCCTCTTGTGCCATCCTAGAGTACTGTGCTTCAGTGGTGAGTATTAGGAACCCTTTGAAGTTCGTCATTCCTCTGCTCTGTTCTTTGCCCCTCCACTTCCTTCTTCTACCCCTTCTCCCTCCCCCGCCCCTCGCTTCCGATAGAACTCTATCTCCTACCCCTTTCCTTCCTTCCTCCCTCCCCTCGTGTATCACTAGTAAATGTATATGAATAAGCATCATTAAGAGAACAGACATAATATAAGCTGAAGATCTGAAGAAAAATGAACAGGAGCGAGTGTGCCATTAAGGCACATGGGGATGTGAGCAGCTGGCGCTCAACCACAATCAACATGCCCAGCCTTGTACGTGAGTGGCTTAGTAAAAAAAAGTGGAACTGCAAGAACAAATAGAAGGGGTACCCCAAAGAAAGCCAAAGTAAAGAAAGTCAACAAGGGGATATAACAGATCCATTCTCCTCCGTGTACTAGCTTTCTATAGAGGCGAACTGTTTCATTGTTGAATGACTCATCTCAAGTATGCTTCATTGTGCAATCAGACTCACTTTCTTCTTCGCTTCGCATGCATACAAACAGATGGTGATTCACACTGGCGCATAGCGCCCAACTCAAAGCTCAGAGATATGGAAACCCAAGAACACAGTTCGGATGCAAACTCGCTTCAACAGGCTATGGTGCACCAGCACCTATACATCCCAACTCTCGTCACTGTGTCCAACACCACTGTTCGCTCACACTTCAACTCTGGATCACCCTGGATATCCCACACGCAACCCACTGTACACTCGCACACTTGCACACGCCACTCTCTCTCCTATCAGCTATGGCGGCTATGGCCGCTGCCTGCCCTATCGCTATGGCTAAGCTTCCTTCTCGCCCACTTCGTCCTCCGGCCTACTGCAGACCACCTCGCACAAGTCGCTGTAGCAGCGCTTCCGCATGGCTTACGCAGGAATGAATGAATGGCTGGTCGCTGCCTCTCAATTTATAATTCTGTAGCTCGTTGGTCTGGCCCTTTCCCATGCCCGTGGTGCACACAGTCCCGTACGGTACTTGGTTGACTGGACTAGGACTGACTGGGACTGGGACTGCTGACTCAGCACGGGTAGACTCCACCACTTGCCCACTTGCCTCTGTCTAAAACGTGAGCAACTTCGAAAGGCCAATACTAGGACCGTCCGGAAGGTTTAGTCTTGGCCTTTCGGAGACTTTAGCAGCTACGACCTTGACCTTTCAGGACTGTAGCAGCCACGACCTTGACGTTTCAGAAGTCCTGAGGCTACGACTTCTAGAACTCCCAAGAACTCTACCCGACAGATCTACAGATCAAACCCCTACAACCTATAGACCCTACGACACTCTACCAACCGTTACGAATACACAGGTCACGGGTTCAACATGGGGTTGACACAGATACTGTACACAGGTAAGAGAACTAGGGATCGAGCCCTGGGATCTGCATTCGCTGCTGCTAACAGGTGAAAACCGTTTCAATTGTCTGCAATAGCGGTAAAGCTGCATGGATTTTGGATCTACTCGTCTTGGTGGAATAGGGGTTGTTATGGTGGGAGTTGGCATCTACATCGGATCGCGTCGGAGCCGTTCTGGTAAGCGCCTGCGCTAATGTGCGTTAGCCCTCACGGCCCGCCCCTGAGAGAAACGGCGGGAACCTCATGGCCCGCCCCTGAGAGAAACAGCGGGGACCTCAAGGCCCTCCCCTGAGAGAAACAGCGGGAACCTCACGCTCGCGCCTTCACACGTTCAAGCCATCGGGCACCACCTTCAAACTCAAATTGAATGGTAACATGGTGAAAGGGTGAATAGCGAGCTTCCACGCGTCATACTTCGCCACGCCCTAGGGCGTGGCACCACGGCTAAAACACGCAAGAATAAAGGGTGGAGGAAG